TTTTTCTTTTTCTTTTACTTCTTTTGATCATTATGAGTTAATTATCTGAAGCATGTAGAATTAAAAAGACATATGATGTTTCTCAAATAGAATAATCATTTGACAAGCTAGTAATATAACACTAAAGAGACATCTTGGTTCTCATGTGTGATCCCTACCCTATATGGTAGAGTAGAATCGAGTATTGTTTTTTAACTTTTATTGTATGTATGGTGGGGAGGAGTTTTATACAAAAAAATAAAAAGAAATTTAAGAAGATCTAACATCATAATGCATAATATATGCAACATTTTCATTTTATTATAATTTTTTTTTCACAAATTGATAGGAGATATCGACAACTATATGAGTTCGTGGCAATTTGATGTTCAATTTACGCATGCTATGAACTCATGCTTGGTATCCAAATTCTTCTATTAATCTACATTTTAAACACTTTTGGTGAATAAACTCTCGCACAATTGTCAAAGAAATTGTATTGTGCAACTTGAAAATAAAATATTTTAAATTTGGAGGAGGATCTCTTCCAGTTTAGATTTTAGACGGAAAGGTATTGTTTGGATCCGTGGAGCTCACCACGGGCTCCATTTCAATTATTCAAACAGTTCATTTTGTCAAACATTTTATGTATTTTATCTGTACAAAAAATTAATTAGGTTGATTCAATAATTGTAACTTATTCAATTTTTTACTAAAAAAATAGACAACAACATGTTTTTAAAAATAAATCACATATTTTTTAGTGAAAAACGTAATAAATTGAACAAGTTATGGTTAATGGATCGACCTAATTTTTTTATAGACAAAATATACGAAGTGTCCAATAAAATTAACAATTTGAATAATTGAAACGGGACCTATGATGAACCCCACAAACTCAAGCAATATCCTCCAATCTAAAATCTGAACCGAAGGATATCCTTCACCTTTAAATTTTCCCATCAAATTACACTAGCAATTCAAATGCTGGTTGTGGTAAGACACAAAAGGAAGGTGGTATGTACGTTAAAAATGAAAAAATCATCTTAAACATTTTTTTTTTTCTTTTCAAATTTGAAAAAAAGAATTTGTGAAAGATGGGAGATATTTACATTATATAAAAAAAACAATTAGACAAATTACACCAGTAACTTTTGTACTTTGCCTGTATTATTATTGTTTTTGTCTCTATATTTTTCATTGAATCAACTTTGACCATTACTTTTTTTTCCAAACATACATTGATTTGCTATTTCCCAAATTATAAAAGGTGATCACATTCCTCCTTTTCAGCACTACACTCACTACTTAAGTATAATTTCCAGTGTCTTAGTCTTAGAAGTTAGAATCACAAAGCAATCCTCGTTTGAGTGCTATATTCTTAGTCACAAGTGTCATGGAGAACGAACATGTTCAACAAAGGTTGATGAAGGCTGCAGAAGCAGGAGATATCAGTCTCCTGTACGGGTGTATACAAGACTACCCAAAAATTTTGGATAGTATAGATGAGATCCCTTTTGTTGATACTCCTTTACACATAGCTGCCTCAGTTGGGCATGCACATTTCGCTTTAGAAATGATGAGATTAATGCCATCATTTGGTAAGAAGCTGAACCCACAAGGGCTAACCCCCTTGGACTTGGCTTTGCAAAGTAGGGAAGGCCTAAGCCCCTCAGACCCGGAATTGCAAAATATGGAAGAGCTAAGCCCAGAGGACCGGGATTTGCGAAATAGGATCACTTCGACTATAAGCCGGCTCATAAAGTTTGACAAGGAGCTCATACGAGTCAAAGGAAGGGAAAGCTTGACTCCTTTGCACTACGTAGCTGAAAAAGGAGACATTGATCTTTTGGCTGAATTTCTATGTGCTTATCCGGAATCAATGGTGGATCGGACAATTCGAGATGAGACTGCACTGCACATTGCAGTGAAAAACTCAAAGCTACAAGCTTTTGAAGTGTTGTTGGGATGCCTTCGCAGGATCCGAAAACATCATGATGTGCTAGGCTGGAAAGATGATGAAGACAACACCCTACTGCACATTGCGGTGTCCACTTCACAGACTCAGGCATGCCACCTATCTATTCTTTGGTTTTCATTATAATACTTAGGCCTGTTTGTTTCCAAGGACCGGATATAATATGAGGTGAGTTTTACATTGTTTTTTGTCTTTCTATATCACATGTTTGCTTGCTCCGAATATAGAGAGTACTTATAGTATATAATACAAAATAGGGCATATGAAATACCATCCCTCATAGTATTGTATATCGCCCACCGTTAGATATAACTCATCTTTCATCCAAATATAAAAAATAATCTCTCATCTTATCTCATCCTATAATATCTTAACTAAATATAGTATAAGTGACCTTATAGTATATATAATTCATCTCATACCCTATAATATATGTTATGTCACATCTTTATCTTTAGATATTACATATCTTTATCAAATCTTTATATCTTATCCGAACAATCAAAGGGGGCCTTAGTTGAAAATGTGTTTAGCTTTATTGGTGTTTTTTCATATTTATTGGTAACAATTGATAGGAACTCCTATATATTTTACAATATTTTATACATGAACAGATTTTTTCCGCTACATTTTTACATCTATATTATCTAGCTATACTATTATATTTTATATTATAGTTACATGATTAGTATAAAATCTGTACTATACACGATAGATCAATTAATATATTTCGATGCTAAATAATAATAAAATCTTTTAAAGTTTAAGAGAAATAACGTGATAGTGGAGTAAGGGAAAAATATTTACAAAAAGGTGAAATATATTATAAAAATTAACAATTATAATTATAATTTTTTATTATTTTATAATTAATTTGCACTGACACAACGAGAGTGTAATTGTCCCCAAAATTTATCTTTTATGATAAATATGATCATGTAAAATGTATGATTAGTGTACGGAAAAAAAAATAAACCTACCTTCTCATATAATACTGTGATCAAGTCTGCGCTCCTCTGACGACGCTCGCTTTACTCCCTAAAACACAAACGTGGCTAGGCCGCGGGTGTGTGCCGTAAAACCCCTCCGATGCCTAAGTCAGTAAGCTTGACAAATAAAACAAATGCTCTGTGTATTCAAAACCAAAAGTTAAGTGCTTACCTCTCCAAATGTTGATGTTTGTTGAGCTTATAGTTTTGTGTTGCACAATCTTAGTAGGACTTCTACTCCTCCATGCAGAGTCATCCTGGATTATACTCCTTAAAGTATAATACTTATCCTTCAATACCCCCCTCACTGCTTAAACCAATGAGATGGTTTTAACTTCTCGCCGGGCGATTATCATTTACGATTTTCCGAAAACACTTTGCCTATGCTAACTAAATCGGAGTGCGATTTAACTGTTAGTTCCGGTTCTCCTTGCTTTTCTCTATCTCAGCTCACATGCCAAGACAGAGCTATCCATTAGACTAGTTTAAGGCCGAACAACCCGCAAAACCATGTCCCAAAGAGGGCTCAGTTCTTCGGTTCTCAATGCCATGAGCGATCTAACCATACCGCGACAACCGTACAAGTTCTCTAGCATGAGTGACTAAGCTAACCTCTTTGGACGGAGTGAACTTCAAGAATCCTTTCCGCCACAGAGTAACTTATATGCTTTACCTTGACCGAAACTAGCTTCAAGTCTCCTCCTGGATCAGGACAAACAAAAAAAAAAAAAAAAAAAAAAAAAAAAAAAAAAAAAAGAAAAAAAAAAAAAAATAAAAAAAAAAAAAAAAAAAAAAAAAAAAAAAAAAAAAAAAAATAAAAAAAAAAAACCTCAAAGCCTTTTTACTCATCCTTCACACCGAAGACCATAACAAACCCAGCTCGGCCCAATTTGCATATGCAAATTACCCTCTCAATTGCCCCTTAATTTCATCTGCATGCATGATAGAGATTACCCTATTTACCAGCCGAAACTAATACTACCTTTTTAAGCTCTCAGCCGAGCTAAAAATCCTTTAGCTTTTCCAGCCGAGCCTAAAAAAAAAAAAACCCCCTTAAGCATATCTAGCAGAGCTAAAACCTTTTAGCTTATCCAGCTGACTAATTACACACCGGCCTCCGCTTGTCCGATCAAACGTTCTCTCAAGCACAGCATTCTGAATCGATTCCCATTCTAACGCACGCTGGCAGGTGTGTTATTGCCATCCACAGCTGTAACGCGCCTCTTCTTGCTAAATGTTGTAACAGTTCCCGACTTTGCCTCTCTTCACAAAACAACCCTTTGTTCCTGAATCACTTACCTCACTCTTTCTTCTCTGCCTTTTGCTCCATTGTTCTCCATCCTTTGCAATTGTGAATCTCGTAACTCGCCTGCTATTTTGCTACTTCATTTCCTTCTCTTCACCTGGTAGCGTTTTTCCAAACCCGCTTTTGCTTTTGTGGTGCTTTGCATTTGCATCTTTCATTCGTGGCACACTATTTCTGTTTTTGCAAAACATATTTCTTGCCTCTACCTCTTCTTTTTCTAGAAAAACTTTCATAATGAACCCCATAAACTTCAATGAACGGTCTGCCAGAACACTTAGTTTGATCATAATTACATATACCGAACTAAAAAGTGAGTTTTGAGCCATGTCATTCATCAGACTACTTAACCGAAAACTAGAAAGTAGTTGCTAGTCAATAAGTCAAACCACTTTCTGTGATTGACCTAACCGAGTACGCCAACCGAATTAAGTCTGCCACTTAGCAACCTGGAAACTTAATTTCGATCATCGAGGTCTTTGGGGCTAAACCGAGCTTTCTTAGTTTTTAGACCGAAACTCAGAAAAGCTGCCCCTAGGCGCTCAACCGGTCTAACATTACCATTTTATCCATCCGAGCTACAAGCACCTTGTGAAACCGAGATAGAACTTTGTAGTATCCACATAGCCGAAGTAGACTCCTATATCTTGCTTTATTTTGCAGCACGGTTCCAAACAATTGTGCTTAAACCCCTTTGTTTCACCTTGCAAACTCTAGATTCCAAGCACTCCACTGCGCGCTCAACCGCAGCTATGAGCACAATTTTGCGAACCGAACTAATTATCAATAACTATAAAAATAAATGGGGAGATATAGGTTTTTGTAAAACCCCTGGCTGGCCTGGCCGAATTTCAAAGGATTACAACATCCCTGCACGAATCCAACTATGCGCTGGCAAACAAGAATCGGTTCCATGGGAAAAAAGAGAGCTATGTACCTTCACCCTCCTATCAATATAGAAACCGGACGTGAAGATTCCCCGTCAACCTTGATTGTGAAATTCCTAGACAAACCAGAATATCCCAACTCAGCTTTTGACCAATTCTTACCGCTATAATAATGGGAAGGGTAGCCGAACTAAACCGCCCGACCGGTCTTAACCTCGGTTCTAGCAGAAAATTTTTGCATTTTTTTTCCCACCAATACTCCATTGCTCCAAAAGATAACGGCTGGCACTACCTTGGATACGCGTCGCAGAAGAAAAGTAATAAAGATACGCCGGGATAAGGACTAAACGAGATCGACATTTTTTCTGGGTATCTAGAATTTCGAAGACCACCAAGCCCAGATCCCAGGCCGAAATATAAAACATGGGGAAAAAGAATTAACAAAAAAAAAAAAAAAAAAAAAGAACACCTGATAATACTTCGGTGTTCCATGATTTGTTATTTATTTCGATACCTGTCCTGAACCGAACTAACAGTTGACTTCTTAATGCAGATTTAGGCCATTCTTCAATCTTTGTATAGTATATCCCACCTGAAACATACTTCGCCGCCGCACCTTACGTTTTCAGAAAAGAAGTTGGGCCAAACTTTCGTAATTTTTGAGCCGAATCATACCGTTACAGCGGTCGCCGAAAACCGGAGTAATAGACTTTCTGTTGAGGACGCCCCGAACCAGACCCCAACTTCCACAAATAGACTAATCCACTGACCGCTGAAGATAGATGGCCAAGAGAAATAGAGTCAGGGCCCTCTTGACGAAAAAAACCACAGACCCGAAGTTCCACCACCAAGCCAAACGCTACAGGCTATTGTGCACCTTCCTTCTCAGACAGCCTTCATCACGCCCATCCAAGCACACACGTCACTCAAGCCGAGCAGCGTCTGTGATGAGACGAATAAAATATAAGACTTTTGCAACACCAAAAATATTTGCTTCCTAAAAAAGTGATTTTATCCCTAAATTTTATCCTCCAAACCTTAATTTCTTTTAGTGATTATGAAATTACTATAATGTTTTTTTCCTTGTTATTTTGTCTTTTTTTAAAAATGTATATGTCTAACAATAATAAGTGATGTGCTACGTTTTTCAATCTATAATATGTTATTATAATTATAAACGATGGTTATAAATGTTGAAAGTGGGAGAGAGGTTTATACTAGTAGTGATGGTATACAGAGAGAATGAATTAATTAAATAAAACACTCGTTTTATTCAATCACAAACAAAATTTATTTTAAACACCTTGTTATTTTGTTTTGTTTTTTTTTAAAAAAATGTTAATATGAAAACAATCAAAGCGATTGTGCTCCAATTTTCAATTATAATATGTTTATATAATTATAATATACGATGATTAATATGTTTGGAAGTGGGAGAGAGGTGTATACCAGTTGTGATGGTGCTACAAAGAGAGGAATAATTAAATACAACATTCATTTTATTCAATCACAAACAAATATTACAAAACAGAGCCAACTCTCTGTTAAACTCATAATTCTTAACTCTCTTAGAATTCTCCTTATTGGAAGATGTTATGTTTCTCTTTGGAGATTAATTTTTCTCGCACTCTATCTACAAAACAATCACACCAAACATCTATTTATAGGCACTCAATCTGTGTACAAAACGTGTGCTATAGTGTGACTTCCTCTTAAGTTCATTAGTGGCTTCCTTGAAGCTTCTATTTTCCTTCTAGTTGCTTTCCATGTTCTTCTTCATTTTGAACTCTCTTTTTGACTCTTGAATTCTTTGGCAGCTTCTTCTTTTACTTGGGAATTTCACGCATCTTCAATACTCAAAATTGAGTTTGTTCTTCCTAACATTACATAGATAAATAATATAAATATATAA